GTTGGTCAACCAATTAATGTGGCTTGTTAGGTACAACAATTATTAGGAAATAATCGAGTTGGGTTTATAGCTATGAGTGCTACGAATAGTCTAACGAGAGGAATGGAAGTGATTGACACAGGAGCTCCTATAAGTGTTCTGGTCAGGGGAGCGACTCTGGGATGAATTTTTAACGTGCTCGAAGAACCTGTTGATAATTTAGGGCCTGTAGATACTAGTACAACGTCTCCTATTCATAGATCTGCGCCTGCCTTTATACAATTAGATGCAAATTATCTATTTTTGAAACAAGAATTAAAGTAGTAGATCTTTTAGCCCCTTATCGCCGTGGAGGAAAAATCGGACTATTCGGGGGAGCTGGAGTGGGTAAAACAGTACTTATTATGGAATTGATTAACAATATTGCTAAAGCTCATGGGGGCGTATCTGTATTTGGTGGAGTGGGTGAACGTACTCAGGAAGGAAATGATCTTTACATGGAAATGAAAGAATTTGGAGTAATTAATGAAGAAAATATTGCAGAATCAAAAGTGGCACTAGTTTACGGTCAGAAGAATGAACCGCCGGGAGCTCGTATAAGAGTTGGTTTGACTACCCTAACTATGGCGGAATATTTCTGAGATGTTAATGAATAAGACGTACTTCTTTTTATTGACAATATCTTCTGTTTCGTCCAAGCAGGATCCGAAGTATCGGCCTTATTGGGTAGAATGCCTTCCGCTGTGGGTTATCAACCCACCCTGAGTACCAAATTTTACCGGTTCTCCAGGGAAATATGTTGGTCTAGCAGAAACAATTCGATTCAATTGATCATTTCCAGAGAATTAGATGGTCTTCCTAAATAGACCTTTTATTTGGTAGGTAATATCAATGAAGCTACCGCGAAGACTATGAACTTAGAAATGGAGAGCAATTTGAAGAAATGACCTTAAATCTTAGTGTACTGACCCCTAACCGAATTATTTGGGATTCAGAAGTGGAAGAAATTATTTTATCTACTAATAGCGGTCAAATTGGCATATTACCAAATCATGCCCCTATTGCCACAACTATAGATATAGGAATTTTGAGAATACGTCTTAACGACCAATGGTTAACGATGGCTTTGATGGGTGGTTTTGCTAGAATAGACAATAATGAGATCACTGTTTTAGTAAATGATGCGGAGAAGGGTAGTGACATTGATCCACAAGAAGCTCAGCAAACTCTTGAACTAGAGGAAGCTAATGTGAAAAAGGTTGAAGGAAGGAGACGAAAAATTGAGGCAAATCTAGCTCTCCGACGAGCTAGAACACGGGTGGAGGCTATCAATCTGATTTCATNTGCAAAAAAAATGCATGTTGGGTCTTTGAAACAGTTCAGATCATTTTAATAATAATAAGTTTGACCTGTTTTACCGAGAAGGTCTACGGTTCGAGTCCGTATAGCCCTATAAAAATGCAAAATCCAAAAAATTCTATAATTTTCATTTCTTCATTATTATTTCTTGCTTGTAACTAAGTGAAATCCAATTATTCCTATAAGTTTACTCACGGCAATCGTTTAAGCAGATGAAAGAAAAAATGCATATCAACGGATCCAATCGATATTGATTTTTTCAATTGCGGATAAAGAAACCAACCTTTCGTCATTAATCTTCGGAGGCGAATTACATATTCATATCCACAATAAAAGAATTAGTGAGACTCCCTTTCTTTTGATATCCCCAATCTTATTGAGTTGTGGAAGTCAAATCATTTCACGGGCCTGGTGAAATGAAAAACTACGAAGAGGAATTCACATGGATTTAGGAAGGGCCTGCTGTATTTGTGTACAAGCTAAAGTTTTTTGAAAAACGAATACCTTTGGTCACTTTCATTGTCAAATAGGCTTTTCCTTCGTATACCTTACTTACCTCGACCTAGCGAAGCACAACACGAAAAAGGCAGTCCTCTTTTTCTGTATTCAACCAAGAAAAACCCCGTCACCTGGATTCGAACCCTAATACTATTATTAAATAATAATAATAAGGAATATACCAACACAAGATCTTCTAAATCTTGAGATGGATACATTCTCTTCTATTTGATTACTTATTCTATTCTAAATCACTAAGAAAAAATAAGAAAAAAGGAAAAAAGACCTCCTGATTCTATTTATAGAAAAAAAACAGAAATCTTTAAAGAATTTCTAATTAAAGAAGAAATAAGATAAGTAATTAATTTAGAATTCCCTGTCTTTAGAGAAAATCCTATATGAAAACAAGAGAATTTGTATAAAAGTAATATATAGTTAGAAGGTTCTACTAACAAAATAAAATGAAAATAAGTATAACGGAAATAAAATCGGATTCCAGTCAATGAATCTTGCAATGAGAATGCCCTACAATAAACCAACAAACAAAGCAAACTAGACGGTTCGATCAATTATTTTGACTAAATATTTATGGATGACTTGACAATTCCAATTCGAATCGACCAATCAAATCTGGTATATTTTCCACGTTCATAGGAGTGCGTTTATGTTTCTGCTTTACGAATATGATTTTTTTGGGCATTTCTAATAATATCTATCTTTGTTCCTATTTTTGGCATTTTTAATTTCCGGAGTGTTAGCCCGGATTAGCAAAGGGTCGGAGAAACTTTCTACTTATGAGTCGGGTATAGAATCAATGGGCGATGCTTGGTTACAATTTCGAATCCGTTATTATATGTTTGCTCTAGTTTTTGTTGTTTTTGATGTTGAAACGGTTTTTAGAAAACTTAGTCTTATGAACTTTCTCATAAGATATAAATCTTAGTCTGATGAATCTTTCTCCTAAAACCAAAAAAAAAAACTAGTCTGATGAATCTTTCTCCTAAGATAAACATCTTAGTCTGATGAATCTTTCTCCTAAGATAGAAAACCTAGTCTGATGAACTTTCTCGTAGGATAGAAATCTTAGTCTAATGAATCTTTCTCCTAAGATAGAAAACTTAATCTGATGAATCTTTCTCCTAGGATAAACGTCTTAGTCTGATAAATTTTTATCCTAAGATAGAAGACCTAGTCCGATGAACTTTCTCCTAGGATAGAAATCTTAGTCTGATGAATCTTTCTCCTAAGATACCCAAAAAAGAAGAAAAAAGACCTAGTTTGATGAACTTTCTCCTAGGATCAAAATCTTAGTCTGATAAATCTTTCTCCTAAGATAGAAAACCTAGTCCGATGAATTTACTCCTAGTGTAAACGTCTTAGTCTGATGAATTTTCTCCTAGGATAATAATTTTTTTAAAAAAAGGGGAAGTCTAGATTTGAAAAAAAGGTCAATTTTTGGTTATTAATCTTTAGTTTTCTTGAAATCAGGGGTCTCACCTGAAGAATAGGGTCCATTTTTTACTTTAATCAAGCTTAGTTTATAGTTTTCTGCAAGCTCAATCTTAAATCTAGGAGACACACTTCCTAGTCTAGGTCATTCGAGTTTTTTTATTAGCAGATGCATTTGCAAGTCAAAATTTTCTTGGTTTTACTCACAGGAGACGCACATCCTAGTCGAGTCTTCAATTTTACTCTCATCGTTGCATCATTTATCAATAGCATAGGTGATTTATATTCCTGTTAATAACTCACAAACCTTCCTAGTGCAAACTGGAGCAGAAAAGTTTCTTTGTTTTGTCTGTTTTGCTGTAGTATCAGGCGCCCACCTGGAGAACGAGGGTATTTATTTCAAGAGTTTCAAGTTTTAAGTCGGTAGCAGACACCCACTTGGAGAACGAGGGAACTTATTCTAGAATTCATTTCAGAGTCATTTGAAGTTTCAAGTCAGTAACAGGCGTCCACCTGGAGAATGAGGAAATTCATTTCAAATTCCAATCAGAGATAGCAAGATCCCTCCTGAAGAATAGGGGCAACCTCCAGTACTGTTGTCAATTCAAGTTAGAAGTAGAAGAAGCTCGCCTCAAGAATGCGGGTCGATAAGGGTTCGAGATAACCAAAAGAAGTCTCAGTCAAGAATAAAAGAAAGGAAAAAAAATGAATCCAAAGTGCAGAAGCGGAGAAAAGATGTGGACTACTCAAGACATAATTGAAGACACAAGTTCTGCATGTCCCGTCTTGATCTGAAAAAGCTGAAGAAAAATAAATCAACACCTGCAGCTAGCAAGCATGAGGGTTCAAATCAAAAGTCTGCATTAAGCACCATTCACGACTCAAGATCAAGTTTCGGAAGACTTATAGATAGGAATCTTGTAACTCATAGCTGATAGGCTTGTTTAGGTTTTTTAGATTTTGATTTTGATGTAATAATAGGACCGCGGACTAGAGCCTCAACGGGACCTCACTCGACTCTCCAACTCATCACTTCACCATTCTCCTTGAACAACACGCGACCTGATTCCCTTATAATCTGAGATATGTAGGTTGTTCAAAACTAGGACTCGGTTGCACCTTTTTCTTTTATTTTCTTCCTATTTTGAATAACGATATGGTCAAAAATTAGTCACATGGCTCACTTTATCTTTGTCTGAAAATTCTTCATGTTTCCAAACAAGGAGGTGCAGTTGTGAGCACCTAATTTTTTACTATATTTGAGTTTTTCATCACCTTTTAGTTTGTAAATATATTTTAAGTTTAATTTACATATTTTAGATCTTATTTATACTTTTATATATTTTACCTTAAGAAAATTGAAAACAATAAAAAAAGAGACACATTTTTAAGATAAGTTTTATCTTTATTTACAAAGAAAGAAAATGTTTTCCAAAAAAAATATTAGTTTGATAAGTAAATTTTGAGTAATTAGTATTTTATCGTGCTATTTCAAGTTTAGGAATAGTACTTTTATTTTTTCATCTATTAATCAATAAAAGAAAATCAAAATCACAAAAAAAGGAAAGAAATTTAATTTGGACTATTTCTCCAAAAGTCTTGCTTTTTTCAAATGTCCAAGTCATAAGCCCAAATTGGGCCAAACCTGAGCCCGATAATCAATAAACCATCAGATTTCCTCCCACCCAAAACCCTACATCTTTTATATATCTTATTCTCTAATTCCAAGACAAGCTAAGACCTAAAATCCCTAGGACCCTAACGGCGGAGGACCCAAGAGAACTCTTGGATCTCTTTCTCACTTTACCTGACTTGGCTGCCCCTTTCCCTTGTACCCATTTCCACCTTTTTGCATTATAATTTTATAGATTACACATAACAGATCTTGGGGAGTTGGGGAGTTAGGCAAGGGAAAAGCGGATAAAAGGGATTTGAACACAGGCAATAGACGAAGGCTAACTCGTCACAGATCTAGCAGCAGCCAGCTCGAGCTTTCAACCAAAGTTTTAAACAAGTTGAAAATTCTCTAAATCCGGTGAGCTTTCGAAACTGTTGACATTCGTCAAAATTGGTTGATTTCAACTGGTTTTTCTTTTAAAAAAAAAAAAACAAAGTTGAACTCTGTTTTTGCCAATTTGTATCAAAATTGGGATGTTGAAATCGTTTGACGTCGCTGACGAGGTTCGTACGAGTTGGTGTGTCGGGTTTCAAACGTGGTCCCTTTTGCGGTTGAAATTTTGTTGTCGATTTCTAAGCTTTGATCCATCGGTTAGTCATTCTGTTCGACTTTTTGATTTGGAGTTTTATCCCATCAATATTGAAAGAATGTTTTCAGATACATTTTAATTTGCTAGTATGTTTGAATTTGCTAGTTGGATCTTCTTCTTTTCTAGTGCTCAGTTTTCATTTTTTTTATATATTATGTCTCTGTGTTAGAGTATAGAAGGGTTAATGTCAGCTAGTTAGTTGCAACATTTCAATTAAAATAATTGCATGATACTGCACAAATATGATTAATTTATAGGATATATTTTACAAAATTAAAATGTTAATATCACTCAACTTCATTGTAAAATTGTTGTTCTAGTATGTGAAGTGTAAATCTTTCAGTCCTTTAAAGCAACGAAGTTCTTCTTTGAAACGCCGAATATGTCTAGCCTGACAAATTTAGGAAAAAGATTCATCGCTAGCTTTGCTTCTAGATATAAGTAATTAATTAATAATCATTGTGGCTATGGGTACGGTTCCCTTGGAATGGTCACGATATGTAATTCCAATTCGCAATTCGGATGTGCATTTTATGTGACCCAACCCCAATTTCTAACAATAATAATAAAATAAACATGTTGTAAATCGCGGGTATGGTTCCCGTGACACGATTCGCAATGTGTATAAAATATACGAGTGCACGATATCATGTCTTGTTTCAGAAATAATTCCCTAAATAAATAAAAGCGGTTATAAAGTTAAAAATGTACAATAGGTTTTAAACATGTAATAAATTAGATAATTAACCAATTATTAATAGTTGAGCGACCGTGCTTGAGCTTGCTGGGCAAAATGCATACACGCATGGGGGACATAATCCATCAACTCAACAGCCTTTGTCATAGCTATCGTCCTTGAAGTTTTACACTTTGAGGGCGGTGATTTTGAGCTACGTTGCAGATGCTTCGAGCAGTCCTGCACAATTGAGATTCAAAAGTGTGAACATCAGATGGTTGGGCTTATGGTGACATTGGAATGCATAAACGCAGGCACAACATGTTGCAGCATGTGAGAGCTGTTGGTTCGCTAACAGTTGCTTCTGTTTTACCGTCCAAGAGGACAACTATGAATCTAGGCAATGGTCATTTTGGATAAACGACCCAGCACATGCTCAAGATGCAGCAAATGGATTCAGATTACATGAGTGTACATTTGGTATATGTTCCATAGGGTTTACAAAGTCGAACAAGGCTGCAATTGTCACCCATTATGATCGGTTAACGAATTGTTCATTTTAGATCAAATGTGATATCAAGGTTGAGTTTAATGCTCAACATTGATACTACGTGTCATGTAAAAGTCAACTTTTATCACTTTCATTATGATTAGACCACCTGACAATGTATTTTTTTATTTTAATTTATATATATATATAAACTAGCCTTAGGCGCTTGCCTAGTGGATTGCAAAAAAAAAAAATCACGGAACTCGGGAGTGCTCATACCTTCTCTCGGGTTAACAGAATTCCTTACCCGGTCTTCTATGTTCGCGGACCAATAAATAGAGTCACTTTCCTCGATTTGGGATTCTAAAATAAATCGGTGACTTGGGACACCATAAATTATTCCAAGTGACGACTCTGAATTTAAATAAATAATCTTATTTCGATCAATGTCACTTTAATTGGAAAAACTCCATATCCTCATTCAGGGAAAAAAAGGTGTGACAAATCACATTTGGATCATCTTGAGGAACATTTGATCTACTTTGCCATGCTGATAAAGTATCCGCCGTTTCATCTAGAATCTCCCAAGCTTCCGCATATGGCGTGGTCATGAAATTTTCAGCGGCAAGTTGGTTGACCATGCATTGATTGGTAGTATTGATCCCCCTATAGAAAGTTTGTTGAATCATAGCCTCCGTCATATCATTGTTTGGGCACTCTTTCATCATAGTTCGGTACCTCTCCCATATCTCATGCAAAGGCTCATTGGGTTCTTATTTGAATGCTAGAATCTCGTCTCTAAGAGTAGCCATATGCCCGAAAGAAAAGAACTTGGCAATAAATTTCTCCGCCAATTCATTCCATGTATGGATAGAATAGTTTGGCAGTATCTCTAACCAATCCAAGGCCTTCCCCCGTAGAGAGAAGGGAAATAGCCTCAACCGTAAAGCATCCTCGGAGACATTTGTCTGTTTACTCCCCATCAAGTGTCCAAAAACCCCTTCAAATGATTGTACGCATTTTGATTCGGAGCACCGGTGAAGAATCACGTTGCTCTAGCAATGTGAGCATAACATTTCTGATTTGAAAGTTGCCCGCCCTAATGTAGTGCGGGACTATGACACTTGCATACCTTTCATTCGGCAACACCCGGTGTGGAGCCGCTCTTTGTGGAGGTGGGGGGGGAACGGGAACATTGTCTTAAGGCGGTCGACCTCATCTATTTGCTTGAAGTTCAAGAGGAACCTCTTCAACTTGATCATCTTCCACGTCCACATCCCTCATAGGCATGTTTCTGAGTGGATCATTGTTGTTGAGAGTCATTGTTTTACCTACAATTATTTCACCAAAAAGATTAGTAACATGGAAGGAAAAGAAGACAATTCACACACAAAACTAAATATATATAGCTAAATTCATCTTTCGCTCCCCGGCAATGACGCCAAAAAATGATCTCGTCCAAGTCACATCTTTATTCGAGGTTATGAAACGGTCTATGCAATAGTAATACCCAACAGAGTCGGGGTCGAATTCCACAGGGAGCTATACGAATGAGATTTAGGAGTATATATTATGGTGAATAAGCTTGAACTATCTTAGATTGTACTTTCACAAATATGGTTGTTTCGAGGCCTAATTTGAACTAAGATTGAAATACAAATAATTGAAACTAAAAAATTGTGTTTTTGTTGGCATTTTCAAATAATGTAAAAGGCTTAGGGAACCTTCTCCTAGGTGTTTGCCTAACGGGTTGTAAACTTTATATCTTGTTTCGTTGGTCGGGGTGTATTATAGCTATCAACACTCAATTACCCACTCAATACCTCTCGGTAAGAGAGTAATTTTGCCCACTTTGGCTTTCTCAAGTCCAAATGGGTACTAAACCAAATAGTTGATAAAATGCTCAAATCGAGTTTTCTATCTCTAGGTTCAACCCTTTATTGGGGACTACCAATCTCTTGATTTCATCCCAAATTCTTGTTAGCCAAGTTTTCCTAGACTAAGTCACTCTTTCTCAAGTAGAAACCAAGTCAAATAGGCATAAACTAATATTTGCAACCATTAATTCTACAATTAAAAGCAAGAACAAGGCAAAATAATAAAAATCCAACCATAAACAACCCATAAATTAAACAACCATTAGGTTTACACACTAGGGTTGAGTCACAACCCTAGTAAAAAATCTAACTACTCATAATGGGTAAAGAAGAAAATAAAGAAGAAAAGATGATAAAACTCATATTGAAAGATTAAAAGATAAAAATCCAATGTTAAATCACCAAAGTAATCTAAAGTTGCCTAAAGCAGTAAGGAAAAACGACTATAGGAGTTTCAATATTCAAAACTTGACCTAATTTCATGAAACTAGTCTATTTAAACAAAGATGAAAATTTTAGACAAAATTGCCCTTTCGGAGGTTCTGCGGCCACATAATTCCATGTGCGGTCCACACTTTGCTTTAGACATGACAGGAGTGGAATTTGCGGTCGCACAATTCTAGAATGTGGCCGCATGTCAAATGTTCTACAGTCCGCACAAATCTTGGTGCGGCTGCATAGGGCTCTTCTGTGGATCGCACAGTTCAGAGTGCGACTACGTAGTTGACTTCTGCTGCCGCACAATAATTGTGTGGCCCGCATTCTCCATTGAACATGAAGTGAGACTTCTTTGAACTTTAACTCTAGCATAACTTCTGCGGCCGATCCGCATTTGTCACTTGGACTCTGCTGGATTTCGTTCACATTTTGCGGCAGCAAAAGGAAATCTATGGTCCGCACTTGGGCCTTTATGCTTGATTTTTGTCCTTGAATTCAGATCACTCCTTTTTGAGTTGGATTTCATCTTTGTGACTCATTTTTCAATAATCTAGCAATTAAGCAGATTTCATCAGTTTTTGGGAATAAAATTAAGCATTTTTAGACTAAAACGAAAGCTAAAAGGTGCTAATAAATATTCAAAATCCCCACTTATCAACCGATGCCATGAGGTGCTGCGGAACATGGGGATAGTTGAGACCAATCAGGTCGATTTTGTTGTGTTTCAGATGATGGGTTCCGCCAAGAGATGGTGGAAGGATTTTGTAACGAGCAGACCAGTTGGGTCGCCTGCACTTACTTGGAACCAGTTCTCTCAGATATTTCTTACGAAGTTCCTTCATGTCACACTGAGACAGGAATATCGCAGGCAATTTAAGCATCTCGAGCCGGGCAGTATTTCAATCACTTAGTATGAGACCCGTTTTGTGGATCTAGCCCGTAATGCTATTCTTCTACTTCCTATTGAGGGACTTGCTTAGCTTATCAAGTTGCAGATGGCCAAGAAGACCAAGAGTGACATTTCTTTTCAGACAGCTGCCAGTGTCGTTAGGCGAGTCGAGATGGTTCTTGCACAGGGGGGAGGTCAGGGGTCTGATAAGAGGCCTCATCATTCCGGTGGGTTCAGTGGGTGCCTTATCTGGAGGTAGGGGTATTTTTCATTGAGGCCATCCTCCCAGGCCATTTCATTCGGCACTCCAGGCATCCCACAGTGCTTCAGGTGGTCGCGGCCCTCATATGTCTCATTCCGACCAACTAGCCTACAGTGCACCACCAACTCTTATTAGTGCACCTGCGCTCCAGAGCTTTCAGGGTGGTTACTCAGGTCAACAGGATCAGTTTCAGGGTCAGTAGTCACAGCAGCCGAGGTCCTGTTATACTTGTGGCAATCCAAGGCACATTGCTAGATATTGCCCTCGGTCATCGAGCAGCTCACAACATCAGGGTTCTCGTGCCATGGTCCCGGCACCGGGTGATTCAACGCCCGCTCAGCCAGCTAGAGGTAGGGTTCAGGCAGCTAGAGGTGGAGGTTAGGTCATTAGAGGTGGATGCCAGCCAGCTAGGGCCTGTCCTAGAGATGTAGTTCAGAGTGGTGGGGCCAGCCCCGATGCTATGCATTTTTAGCCAGACTTGAGGTTGAGTCATCTGACGCTATTATCACAGGTACTATTTCAGTTTTCCGTAGAGATGTTTCAGTTCTATTTGATCCAGGCCCTACTTATTCCTACATGTCATTGTATTTTACTTCATATTTGGTTGTGCCTCATGATTCTTTGAGTGTTCCTATGTATGTGTCCCCACCTGTGGGAGATGCTATTGTTGTAGATCGTGTTTATCGTTCGTATGTGGTTACCATTGGGAGTCTTGAGACTAGTGTAGATCTTCTACTTCTCGATATGGTAGATTTTGATGTTATCTTGGGTATGGATTGGTTGTCACCTTATCACACTATATTGGATTGTCATGCCAAGATGGTAACCTTAGCCTTGCCGGCTTTTCCTCGATTAGAGTGGAGAAGAGCTCCTGGCCATCCTACCAGTAGGGTTATCTCTTATGTGAAGGCTTGGCATATGGTCGAGAAGGGGTGTCTACCTTATTTGGCTTATGTCTGTGATTCTAGTGCGGATGTTCCTTCCATGGATTCGGTACCAGTTGTTTGTGAGTTTCCAGAGGTGTTTTCTATAGACCTGCCGAAGATGCCACCCGACAGAGATATTGACTTTTGTATTGATTTGGCTCCGGGCACCCAGCCCATTTTTATTCTGCCATACTGTATGGTCCCGCCAAAGTTGAAAGAACTGAAGGAGCAATTACAAGATTTTCTTGATAAGGGCTTCATTAGACCTAGTGTCTCACCTTGGGTGCGCCTGTGTTATTTGTGAAGAAGAAAGATGAATCGATGAGGATGTGCATAGATTATCGACAGTTAAACAAAGTCACCATCAAGAACAAGTATCAATTGCCGAGGATTGATGACTTATTTGATCAGCTTCAAGGCGCCAAAGTGTTTTCAAAGATTTATTTAAGGTCTGGCTACCATCAGTTGAGGATTAGGGCATCTGATGTCCCTAAGACAGCTTTTCGGACTCGATGTGGGCATTATGAGTTTCTAGTTATGTCATTTGGGTTGACAAATGCCCCAACAGCATTCATGGATTTGATGAAATGGGTGTTCAAACCCTATTTGGATTCCTTAGTGATTGTGTTTATTGATGATATCTTGATCTACTCCCACAGTCGAGAGGAGCATGAGCAGCATCTTCGGATCGTACTTCAGACTCTGAGGGACAACCAGTTGTATGTTATGTTTTCAAAATGCGAGTTTTGGTTGGACTCAATCGCTTTCTTGGGCCATGTAGTATCGGC